CCAAGGAGCCACAAACTAGCTGGAGTCCCTCAAGCACCAACTCCCATGTAGAAAAAAACAGTTTGCTGGTGATAAGATGGTTTCTGGGGCCCACCATCTCCCTCATCAACTCCTCTAAGGCAGACATGCCAAAATGGTTCAAAACACCAAAGTTCATGCTCAATAATCCAGGTATAAATCCAACAACGTTCAGTCAGGTCATCTGAGTGGTTTCCTTTTTTTTTTCTGAGACCTTTTGTCCTTCATCCAAAGGACTTCTTCAGTCCAAGGAGCCACTACTTTGCTTAAAGTTAGTTTTTGGTTTTAAAATGTAAATAATCAGCTTACTAATAGTGGAAAGCAAAAACATGTACCGGTACTTTAATGTAAATGAAAATATAATTGGATTTGGCATATTGAGGATAAAACAACACACTGTGTATGTAAAACTGCATAGTTTGTCTTTATTGTGGAGTTTGGTTTTGGAACAATACCTAATTTTACAGTATCTTACACCTGAATGGAACTTCCTGAATCAGTTAGAAGACCTTCCTAAAGTTAGTGTATTAACTTTACTAAATTATTAATTAGGTTTTATCAGGTGCTGGTTGATGAAAATAGTGATAAATTTGACTAAAATGCAGCTTAAGTCTGGGGGTGCTTAACTATAGTACCAGTTTGTACATAGTAGACTGTATTCTGCAATTTAGGAATATAATTTATGATGGTATTCATCGCAAAGTCATGAATCTGTTAAATTCATAAAGTTATAAATAAAATCTAATGTTTTTTCCTTTTATCTATGATAAATCTGTCCTTGAATTACGTGTTTATGAGCAAAATTTGTGAGCCTAATATTTATCCTTAACACTTGTCTTATTAAATCTCTCTTTTTTGTCATTTAGCACCAGATTCACACATATTTCCACTTAGACGTCATCTTCGAGCTTCTTCGCTTGTCTTTTTCTGCCATATGTACTTACACAGACTATGCCCAGCCTAATGTAGGCCCAGAAGTACCCCAGATGAGAAACGTTCGTCTGAATGCTCTTTCCAGGCAGGGACTGGTCATAGCTCCCCGTTCTGTGACAAACTTTCATTGCGCCATTTACCTCAGAGTCTGAAAAGTCATCATGATGATCTAATTAAAAATCTAACTGACTCAGAAAAATCACTGAATACTATTCACTCAGAAAAATAATAAGAAAGTAGAAGACACAAGAATGCGCTGAATATCAATTTTACTAGAAACTACTATTGCTATGTCTTTTTTAGTGTTGAGACGTTTCTGCTTTCATCCAAAGGACTTCATCAGTCCAAGGAGCTGCAACAAACTCAGTCCCACGAGCAGCAAAGCAACATAGCTGACCAACCAGTTTGCTGGTGATAAGATGGTTTCTGGAGCCCACTCTCTCCCTTGCTGACTCCTCTGATGGGTCCATGGGGGAGAGGGTGGGCCCCAGAAACCATCTTATCACCAGCAAACTGGTTGATCCACTATGTGAGCGTTCTGCTTGTGGGACTGAGTTTGTTGCGGCTCCTCGGACTGATGAAGTCCTTTGGATGAAGGCAGAAACGTCTCAACACTTAAAAAAAGAAATCATCAAGAGGACCTGACTGACCTTTGTTGGATTTTCTACCTGGATTATTGAGCATGAACTTTGACACTATGGCTATGCTTAAAATCTTAAATGTAAAGCTTTGTCCTGAAAAAAATGATTTAAATGAAATAGTTTTCCAACAAGGATTCGTTTGATATGAATAGTCTTTTTTTGACCACTCGAGGGCGACAACAACTCTGTCAGCCTCCCTGCAGGTGATGTGAATTCATCTAAGATGACTTTATAAACGATGATGAACTCGCCTGCACCAATGTGTCAGAATGGATGTTTCCTTCATCTTTGTTGAGCTGTACTTACAAACATATTGTTCTGCTATGAGACAGGAAATGTTTTTTTTGAAAATGAGACCAACTTTAAAGTCAACATTGTTTTAATGAAAAAAAAAGCAAGAAAAGTTCACAACAGCTAAACTTAAACCTAAATCTGCTTCGTCTGAGCTTTTCTTGATAATATGTGACAAGAGACGAATATGTTTTGTGTCATCACGCTGCTATTTTCAGATTTCCTCTTTCCTGTGATTTGTTCAGGACGGTTACAGTTTAGCTCCGAGTCCACTTTAAATTGTTTCTGACGAGTGCAGTTTGGCTGATTTTGCCCCTTTGCCTTAAGTGAAATGGTTTAGTTGTTGTTTAGTTCCAAAACTGTAGGTTTGTCTCGCTTTTAAATATATCTATTGTAATATTTTGTTAACCTTTTGTATCTGATATTCACCTCGTTTTTTTTCCTGTTTGCTGTTTAACATTTTGTTAAATGAATGCAGTAGTTCCAGTAATAGAAATATATATTTATTAGGTTCATACCAACAGGAAAAAGAAAACAAACCTGGATTACATGTTCTACACAAACACATTGCTGTTTGGTTTTGACTGGCATCCATGGGCGTAATTAATCAGTTGTAACTTTTCTCAAATGGGGGGCGAGTACTGGATACTCGTTAACAGCTTTGTATTTTAGAGGTGTTCCTGTTCTTGTACGTCTTCTGCCTTTTCTGTGGCAGAATCCCATTTCCTTAATTCAAAGTCACTCGTATAAAACAGTTCACTATGAAATGGGATAGACTTAAAGAACCCAAACTACCATCCGTCAATGCAACATATTTGTATGTAAGCAGGTAAATATTACCATATATACAGCCATGGAACAAGTTAAGAGATTGCTGCTATTTATTTTTTTTTTTTCTAAATCAATCGCAGTCGTTCTATTCAGGTCTGTTGAATTTCAACATAAACACTCGTCTGGACAGTTAATTTTTTTTTTTTTATGGTGGAACATTTCCTTCTTCATCCAAAGGACTTCGTCAGTCCGAGGAGCCGCAACATACTCAGTCCCTGGATCAACCAGTTTGACGGTGACAAGATGGTTTCTGGAGCTTGCCCTCTCCCCCGTCGACTCCTCTGAGGCAGCTATATCTATAGTGGATCAAAAACATCAAAGTTCATCAATGAAACTGTCCAGATGACCTGACATATTACTGACCTGGGCTTACTGGATGTCAGATTTTCAGTGGGGTTCTGGTGTGGATGGAAGACCATCAGATCGAGACCTTGTCATGGTCAGCCTGATCTCCAGACCTGAACCCCATTGAAACCCTCTGGAAGGTGACCAAGAACAACTCTTAATTTGTTCCAGAGCTGTACTGTGTAAAACTAGTTTATTTAGTTTGCAAGAAACACTGGTAAATGATCCTGATGCGCTGGTAAATTACTTATTTTTTTACACTTACTCATTAAGATTGACACGCCAAACCTTGCACCATCCAACTACACTTCTTCATAGTTGTTGTTACACTAATATATTTTCAGCTGCGATGGACCAGGCTGCTTCTTTCTGTTTTTATCCTTTTTAAGGATAATCAGCAACGTCAAACAAAATGCACAGGGATACGAATCAACATCAATAAAGACGGACGACGTGGTTTTGTTTGGACGCTGCCATGCTGTATTGGATGTGGGGGTGAACCCTTGATATGAAAGTCTGAATTACTCACTTTCCCAACTCGCCACCAGGCTGTCAGTCACAGTGTGCCATGACACTTTTCTTAAACCCTCCGATAACTCATTGATGCCAGACTTGATTTAAAAAACAATGCATGTTGGAACAAACGGCAGCAAGGCAACTACGTGAATCAGCAACTGAAAACAGTTGGTTTTACATTTTTTGGGGGTGTGTCTTAAAAGTTGTACTGCAGCCAGCCACTAGGGGGAGCTCATCCTATAAGGCTTCAGCTTCCAGCTTCCCGTCCTCTTTAATTGTGGTTTATGTAGATACGAGTACAGCTAATTAGATGTTAAAAGATTGTAGTGACAATAAAATGTTTTTCACAGAGAAAATGATTAATATTTCTGAGGGTATTTGGAGGATAAGCTCATAACTTTTCCATTTAACATCTATATCTGAAAAATCTTTTTAATCTAGATTATCATGAAATGATTAGGACATCCCTACCTTTCTAGTGGGGACTGGGATTAGTACTCATTCTGTTCCACTCCTCATTGTTTTCTTCCCTTTTACGTGTTTTAACAAATGCTCCTGTTTTCTCTGTTCTTTCCTCAATCCTTCCTCCCTCTCACACCCAGACCTTCCCCTTCCCGCTAATGTCGCCTCCATTTCTCCCACCGCAGCAGCCGGTGCCCAGGCCGCGATGCTGGGTGGCTGGCAGGTTCTTGTACACGGCCCGGCTATATGGGATGAAGCACAGGCCCAGCTGGAGGTGCCGGGCCAGGCGGCAGTACGCAGCCAGGGCGAGGACCAGCAGAGGGGTGACCAGGAGGAAACCCACCACCAGCAAAGCCACGCAGCCTCCGTCGGTGAGCAGGTCCGAGCAGTAAGGGGTGGAACCGTGTGGACGGACCTGCAGAGATGAGAGGAGGAAGACGGCGGTGAAGCTAAAGATGTGATAAATTTGGTAACGAACCATATTTCTAGTTGAAGACATCATTTTTGGCACAC